ATGTATTAATTTTGTATTTTATCATTGTTAATTTTGATTTCATATATGTTCAAATATACATTTATATTGGATGATTCCCTCTAAATACTTTATTTTTTTTTTCCTTTTTGTCTTTTTTTTACTGACCGGTAACGGGATCACAACCCTCGGTGTCGCACCCGCACCGGGGACTGGCAACGGGATTGCAACCCTCAGTGTTGCGCCCGCACCGCGCTCAGCCAGTAAGCAGGAACCGGTCTCCACATGGGATCCGAACCCCCGGCGGGAGCGCCGCCACACTCCCAAGCGGTGCACTCTCCAGTGCGCCACCGGGCTGGCCCTCTAAATACTTTATTGATAAGAGTAAACAAACAAAAGGTTTGGTGACTACTCATATAAAAGTATTGATTAATATGGCAGAGACAGAATTTCTATGTGTCACAAACAAAGGTGTGGCAAGATCCGTTGGCTAAAGTATTTATGTTGAAATAAAGATGTCCTGTAAATTCAAATGAGGCTCTGAAAATTGAGAAAAATATTTTAAAAAACAAAGAGAAAATTTTTATGGAAAAAAATAAAAACTGTTTAAGAGCACATTCTTAAGAGCCAGACAAAAATATATAACATAAAGAAAAATAATTAGGTATTAGAACAAAAGTCTTGCATATGGCTAAATGAGCAAGGCCCTGGGAAAAATTTCATTTGATGTTTTAGATTTAAAATTAAATTTAAAATGTGTTCACAAATGTCCCTTTTAATTCAAATCTGTTTGTTTCCAGAGTTTATAAAGCAAGCACGGAGAGTGAGGATGCCATGTTATCAGAATTCGTTTGAATCCTGAGTTTCTAGTAATGATAGTAGCGATTAAGATAGTGAGAAATTTATCCAANGTATTACTAGTAATGGACATACTAGAATAATTCAGCAAAATATTCCTACTTCTAAATAATCTAATGTCAATAATGATACGTCTTATTAAGAATTTCTTAAAATAATATTTACATACACATTATGTATGCAGACAAATACACATTTGCAAACCCCACAAAAAATCTTATCCAGTACAAATTCATTTGTTCTTCAAAATAAGCTAGGTCATTCAAATGGCTTTATATATGCTTTTGCTTGTTTCAGGCTTAACAATTTAAAGTTTAGAAATAATGGACTTTCAACTCTGGGAAGAATAAGTTCCATGGGAATTAAAGGCTAGCAGTATTAAAAGTATAAATGGCGATGCAACAGTTTAAAAAGACAGAGAGGAGAGAGAGAGAGAGAAAGCTTTTTGGTAACCAGACAGCTTAGCAAACTGGATGGTTTGAAAATAAATAAAAAAGTAAGAGATTGATACATCTCAGTCATAGAAGACAGAGGAGAAAAGAACCTCTGAGATAATGGGTAATAACAAGAACTCAGTCCTTTTAAGAGATGGAGCAGATAAATTATCTATGAAGCAGGATATACTTATTCCTAGAATGATCAGGAAGGAAATGTTAAATATGTATTAATTTTGTATTTTATCATTGTTAATTTTGATTTCATATATGTTCAAATATACAT